TGTGTGTGTAGCCTGCCATCCCTGCAAATGTTGGATGGCTGGGAACGGCCCGGAGGGAGGGTCAGATTAGGATTATAAACTAGTCACCAGCTGTGTCACTTTTGATACTCGCCCTGCTCCCACCCGTCAGTCTCACTCTGCGCGTGCCAAGCTCCATATTAAAAATCTGTCAAACTACTTTGTGGCTATTGCAGTTGCACAGATTGTGCAGACAGTTGGGAGTGGTGTCTCTGAGCTGATTTCTTGTCCTCCCTCTGAACAAAGACACACACACAAACACCATCACACAGCACTGTAAGATATTCAATATTCACATGGTTTAATATTCAGTTTTTCAGTCTTGTTGTTAGATAAATCACGTTTCATTGACCATGCAATGCTGTAAATATCATGCACCGAATAATACTTAATACATTAATAGACAATCATTTTTGCGCTCTTACCATACCATACTTATTTGCACTTGTGACATTGATTTATGACTCAGTTATTATTTTGTTGTTTGTTTCTTACATTAACATTCATCACTGTTTTAAAATTTCCTTCAGGGAGAAGTGCTGACTTCCAACAACACATCTGGAGCTCTGTGTATAGCTCAGCCGTGGCCTGGTATGGCCCGAACCATTCATAACAACCACCAGAGATTCATTGAGACCTACTGTCAGCCTTATCCTGGTACAAGAACAAACTGTTTTTATGGTGTTTCTATCTTCCTTTGTTGTTGTTTTTTGGGTGAAGACAATAACTTATGGAAACTTATGGCTGTCACCATCTTGTTTCTGTAAGTTCACAGCTTTGAAATCCCTCGTTTGTTGGAACAATAGGTTACTTCTTTACTGGTGATGGCGCCTATCGCTCTAAGGAGGGATACTACCAGATCACCGGGCGCCTTGATGATGTCATTAACGTGAGCGGTCACAGGATTGGGACGGCAGAGATAGAGGATGTGGTGGTACGGTCAATCAATGATAAACAAGTTATTTTAATGTATCGGAGCATTGCTTGCTACATTCATAAACATATAATGGTAACATCCTAATGAAGATTATACTAATTTTGTCTTAAATTAGCAGAAGAAAGAATTCATCTCTGACAGGAAAATGACAATTATGTCCAGTGGACATGTATTAAAATATATCACAATAAAATCATGAATAAAAATATATTCAAAAGTAATATGGAAAAGAGGGTTTAAGTCATTTCTTCCATTAAAAGTGCCCCTAAAGTTCTTTCCCCAAATGAATAATCAAAGCTCAAAGAAACATTAATGATTTTTGCTATTTTTTCCAATGCTCAAGCAGTTAAATATTTCCCCATAAAGTGTAAAGAGGATCCTGATTGTGATTTCTGTAACAGAATCAATGCTCTCAAGTGGCTGAGTCTGCCGTCATCGGATACTCACATAACATCAAAGGAGAAGGTGAGTGTAATTCAGTCAATCTTTTTTAATTTGATGCCAGTGTTAGCTAACAATGTCCATCATAGGAAAGACTGTTTTCTCTCTGTGTGTTGTCAGGTGTGTATGCCTTTGTGGTGCTAAAAAAGGGTACAGACGTTGAAGAGACGGACCTGTCCCGGCAGCTAAACGACATGGTGTCTAAAAAGATTGCCAAGTACGCCTGTCCAGACTGCATCCAGGTAAATTCTGTCTCACTGACTTTAAATCGCAAACAGATATTTCAGACTAACTTGTACTCAGTCACTATTTGACCACTCCCACAGTTCGTCCAGCGGCTGCCAAAGACACGCTCGGGAAAGATAATGCGCCGGGTGCTGCGGAAAGTGGTGGAGCAAGACTTGAACGGATTGGGTGACCTCAGCACTCTGGATGATCCTGCAGCAGTTCAAGAGATCATCGAAGGTCACCGCAAGCTCTCTGGTAAACAACAACAACGATGATGTGTTTTCGGAAAACATGCTCATCTAAAGAGGAAGATGAAAGTGATGCTTGCATGTAACTTTATATTTCACTGAACCACTTAGGTTTTTTGTTATTGTACATATGAACATTTTAATGCAATCAGGTAAACAACATTTTAAAACAATATGTAGAATCACAGATAAACTCCGCTCTTGATAGTACTATAATCCAGATGTAGTGATTGTAAACATCATACAGTAAACAAATGTAATCTCACATAAAGGCAGATTTACAGTCTTAAAGTGTCCCTTTTCTTTACTGATTTGTGGTCATAATAGGTGCATAAGGTAGCCATTCAAACCATTCGTTTGGCAAAGGTTTCAGGTCTAGAACACTTTGTGCGTCCTCCAAACCGCCATCTTGTTTAAAAAAAATTTTGCACTCTGGAGCAACCTGGAGAAAAAATGTATCTTCTTAAAATGTCTATGGACATGAATACGTACAAACTGGTTGTGCACAGTTGGCGACCTTTGCTGGAGGAAGTGGTAAAACAAGCGCCTAGTTAAGAGCACTTGAGTGTCAGTACAGTAACTGAGGAATTCAGGAGTGTTTTCTGTGCTCGTCTCCCACGCCGATGCTTTCCGCATGTCCAGGATTTCAAAGAGAAGACTCTGAAGATGTGTGGCTTCTTTTTTCTCCTTTTAACTTAGTTAACTCCCACCGGCCTCCTCCACACAGTTTCAACTGGACATCGTGGTACTGGGAGAAACAGAAAGATACAGTTAATATCCTTCATAGATTTAGACAGACGTTAGAACAAAGCAAAAGGGGTTAGTGTTAAAACGTAGAGGACTGCCATACTGAAACAGAATAATCATGGACTGACAAAAAAAAAGCACAAGCTCAACTTTATTCCATTCAAAGGAGATTGAGAGAATCGGATATAGGTTTGGGTATATACTGTAGTGAGCACTTGCAGTTTAAAAATTCAGCATTTTAATTTTTTCATGCTGGATCTTTTGGAGCAAAATAACAATAAGGTGACACCAAACCATCCTTCATATTTCGAGCTGTCTCATAAATGCATGTTCAGTCTACCTTCTCCAGGCTGCTACGGTGTCCCAGACTGACCAAAGTCATTCCAAGGTGTTTACAGGTTCGGTACAGCTGTGCTTCTGCCTCCTCTGTCAAAGCACTGGTGGCCTCATCCAACACTGCCAAGACAAAATTATAAAAATGTAAAGAAACCAACAAGTTTAAGAAAGCTCCAGTCTGAATGACCTCTAACAGAAAGGACAGGATGAAAAAATGCAAATGTTTCACATCTGAAATGCTAAATTTAGGTGGTAAATCAAAGACAGTGGGCGAGGCCAGCTCCCCTGAAACTGCCGTGTCAGAAGCGCTCAAAGTCTCGATTCCTCAGATCGGTTCATGAATACATTACACAAATCCAAAGCAACACACCTGCATATTTAGGCTGCAGGTAGAAGAGTCGAGCAAAGCAGAGACGCTGCATTTCACCTGGAGACAGAACATCATACCTGCAGAGAAAAACTAGTTCACACACTGCCTCACATAATACACACATTACTTGTTTCACTTTGTGGGTTTTCTACTTGTATTTTCTCTCTTACCAGTTCCAGTCCACCCTTTCATCCAGCCCACCTGTCCGCTTCAAGAGATTGGACTGGAGCACAGATCGAAGTTTGATTCAGGATCAGAGGATGATCAGATTACCAACACATACAGAGTTTAAAGGAATATAGTTGTAGGTCAGTCACTCACCACTCCCGCTAGTTCTAAGAACTGTATAATTCTGTCATCGTCCACTGACCCTGAAAGAAAGGACACATTATTATTTCAGTCGTTCCTGGAGGAAGCACAAAGATTAATATAAATATAAGAGTTGCATCTGTATACATTGATCTACTATATATGTATGTATGTATGTATCTTTGTAGGTTTCCTTGCTTGAACGACAACTAAATCAATTAACATCTATCAGACAGTCAGAGTGAAATCTGATACCTGATTCAGGGTAAATATCCTTCAATGGGTAGATCACCTGTGGGAGAGAGAGTTCCAGTTAATCCTTATTCAATCTAATCTGTTTCTAATTTAGGTACATTTCAGCACTTTGATAAACTTGACACACTTCAGGCTCAACAGAGAAACAAAATAAAAGAAGAGAGAGAGACCTGTTCACGCAGTGTGCCATCAGTCAGGTAAGGTTTCTGTGGCAGGAAGAGGGTTCCTCTGGGGCCAAAACATGTGGTCATCTGGACAAAACCTAGAGATAAGATGCTGTCATGAAGCTACTGAGCGCAGATATCACAAATCAAGTCTTTTTTGAAGTGCTTAGTATGAATAACAAACAGAAACAGTGATACCCTCTGCACTTCTCCTAGGAAAAGAGGAAAAGAGGAAAAGCAAACTATCTGGATCACACATAGCTCCCTCTCATCCTACCTTGACACAAACACAGATCACACAAAATGTGCCTCTCCTCACTCTGACCACCTCAATGAAAGAACAGCTTTTATTGTGTCTTGCCAATATGTCCACATATCTATGAATATATATTTTCAGACATGCACATTCTTCCTCTATTTCTATTCTTAAACACATATCATTATTTCCAGTCAGGGGTTATTATTACAGCCTAAACTCGTCGGCAGCCATGAAACCTTTTTATTCATCACTTCCTGTCTGAATCAAACTTCCTCAGCCTCGCTGCTCTCTCACCGCTGTGAGCCTCCCAGAGTCGGTTGAGGACCCTCAGTAGTGACGTCTTGCCGGTGCCTGTGTTTCCCACTACCAACAGATTTGTTCCCTGGTTGATTTTTAGACTCAGATCCTCCACCAGCAGCTCGTCTGAGTAAGGAGATTTGTATGAAAGATGATCCAGGATGAAGGCAGTGTCCACAGGGCCCCCGTGGACATTGAAGTCACTGTGTGGAGAAATTTAATAAGAAATAAAGAACATGTGACACGTGTTGTTCTAAGCATTTTAAACTCATGTTTGTCATATTCTTTGCTCTTTGTCTTTTTAAAATGTATTCTAGCTGTGTGCGCAGTCTCTTACTTAAATATAACTACTTTTTTGCAGAAGACAAACCTGTCAAAGTCATAGCTTTCCCCTGATGCTGGGTCATAGTCACACTGCTTGCGTAGAATGTCATCCATCACCTCCCTGAGCTGCCCAATCCTGACCACAACACACACACACACACACAGATTCGTTGATGGAAAGCTGGATGGCATGCACAAGCGCTGCTGTCATCATCTGTCCTCCAGGAAGTGATTTTAAGTATGCAGTGTGATACCTGTGGGTGTATCCAGCCACATCTGACAGAGTGGTTGACAGGTCTATTAGCTGCGTGAAGCCATTTATCAAGTAGATGCAGACAAAGGCGTTCTGAATATGAACAAGGAGAGGGAGAACCAGAGCAGAGAGTAAATAAGAGACATGTTAATTAAAAGAAGAGTATTAGAACAAAGAACAAAAGGCAGTAACATGATGACACACTGGACAACAGCATGAAAAAGAGATGACAAATGTAATACGTAGAAGTGAGATCTCTGTCTAACAACAGGCACTTGAAAGCTTTTGCTGTCACCTAGTGGTTGAATTAGCAACAAGCTCACTTTAAGCCATCTATTGTGTGATGGCAAACCTTTCATACCTTTTAAATAAACTCTGTGAGGTAGAGGTGTGCACATACTGTGGATTCAATCTTAAACATTTGATGATTTTATATTTAAATTTGTAATTTAACTTATTTTTAAATTGTTTAAATGAGTGTACTCTTTTTTTTTCACTATGACATGTATTTTATTTGACACTGACACTTTACTTGTTATTACCTCTGCCGATACATTTCAATGGTTCTTATTTTTCTATGTGAAGAAAGTTCCACAAGTTTTGAGAAGTAGGGAAAGGAATAAAAAAAACATGCCAACCTTACTGATGAGAGCACTGAGCTCCCCAGGAGTGAGATCATCATAGATACCGGTGAAGATGGGAATGGCGATTATGATGTAGCTGAGGAAACCTCCGAGGTAGTCAAAGGTGTTTACCCCAACTGAGAGAGGAGAGGTCAGAAGTTAACATTACAAGTTTAATTAAAGCAATCAATGAAAGATATATAGAAATAATAGAGTGTGGATGTATGTGATGTTCTTACTATAAAGCAATAGCTCTTTGTTTATTAGACTCTTCTGAGTTTGCAACAGAGCCTGCAGTCTTCGGTCGGTCCTCATGTGCTCCACTTTACCAGCTCTTAAATACATACACAGCAACATGCTTTAACTGCATGATCAGTGTGTGTTAATGTGACAGAGTTATTATTAGTATTACTATTATTAGTGTCAAATTTTGTTTAGCACAGAAAAACACACCAAGTACAGTTTCCAGCTGTACAGCTATAGCTGTCTAACCGTTCTGAAAACATATTTGTGTCTCAGTCTCTGCAGGTTTGATTCGTGCATGAGACACCAAAATAAATATTATAATAACATTTATCCTTGTAAATAAATAATGTGTTTGTGCCTTACCTGTAAAAAGCTGCAGACTCTGCGTTGACACGGATCTGCATGTGCTTGAATCTGGAGATAAAAAAAACCAAAAAAAAAACGTTTTTACTTTCAAGCAAAACAATTTCAGATTGAACACAACTTTCATTAAATTGTTCTCCAGTAACACAAAATAGCACTGTTTTAACTTGTGACAGATGACATTATAATTCCTCTTTCATAGCTGACGCATATCCTGTGTCATTTCCTGAGGCAAAAAGCACTGGGCCAAAGTCTACAGAAACTTCCTGTTACCAAGGACTGACTTCCTTGACATGAACACCGAAAGGATTTACAACAAATACAGCTGGCAACATACCCAACCCCTGTTGTAGTTCAGGAAAAAAAAAACAGTCAGTCCTGCTCTGCTTGTCTGTCAGCACACATTCCTACAGACACAGACACTTGGTACACCAAACGTACTAAACTTACCGGAAGTCTCCCTCCAGTTTTTCTTGCTCAAACAGAGTTGAGACAATAGGCCCCATGAGGATTTTATTGGCAATAGTCCCAATCACAAAGTAGCAAAAGATACTAACAGGACCGATCCAGCCGGTGCTGCAAAAACACAATTCAGAGTGAAAATACAGTAAAACAGAAACAAACAACAAAACAAGTGTTGTGTGTCGCTCTCAAGTACAAATGTTGGCAAATATGGCTGTAACAATGTAATAACAGAGCCTGTCTCAGATGCTTTAACCTCTAATTCACAGTAGGTGTTAAACATAGTACACAGGAGTGTGATATACTCCACAAACTCACCTGTAAAAGCAGTGGTAGGTGTAGTAGGCCAGTGTGAACGGTGACACAATCAAACGACTAGCCATGGTGCTCATCTGCTTACACAACCTCTCTGCATCCTGACTGATTCGCTGGTCTCTGGCAGTTAGAAAACAAGAAAGCAGAAATTACATTATTATAACAAATTACATTATCCCACACTCTGATGATGTTTAATATTCTAATAGACACATGATCAACACTAAGCAAACATTTATATTTGTACACTCATACATGGTGATGCATTTAAGTTGCATTTGTGTCTATATCCTTAAAAAAAAAGCACTAGGTAAGAGTACAAAAATGAAAGCTCACGGGTTGTCGATGTCCTCTCGGAGTACATTGAGTGTGTAATAGACTCGGCCCTGGAAGTAGGCCGTATGGAGGCTCTCAGTTAGCGTCTGCCTCCAGTTAACGTACATCTGATTGCAAATGTACTGGTCGAGACTTTTCAACTGGGACAGAGAGAGAGAGGGATAAGTCGTCTATTAGAGAGAAAAAGTAACACAGAGACAATAAACAGCACTTATATGACGAGACAGCAAGAATAAACTATGTGGAATATTTGTTTCTCAGGTTCAAAATCCAAGGATAAAGATCAAGTGTGTGTCTGCAGTAAAATGAACATGTCAGGCCGTCCTGGCCTTGTTAACTCGCTACCGTCTACGATAACAGCCATCCGAGATCAAACATGACGTCACACAATAAATATAGTGAATATGTAACTGATTTAGTTTGAGTACACACATCTAAATATTCCTCTACAATGGACACTATTGGGATTTAATTATGATAACTGTAATGTTGTAGTAAGTAAGTTTTTGTTGGTCTGCATAATATTAAACAAGTCAACTTTCTCAATGTGGTGTAGTTGTTGCTGCTCATAAGATACAGTATACACACACACACACACACACACACACACAGAAAAAAGTAACCATACACCTACAGTTAACTGGCATCATAAAGAATTATTTATTATTTGATTGATAATAAATACAAAACACTCATCTGTGTGATGATACATTAACTAACTCGAGCTATATTCTGTCCACTGTTTGACATGATAGCTACGTAAAAAGCTTGAGTGCAGAATCTAAAAGTATTGATACTTTTATCAATAGTCTACAGACCAATCAGAAGCTGGGCCCAAAGGAAAAGGATAAGAGAGAGCTGACTTTGCACATGCATGATTAGTAAAAACTCTTAAAAAAAGAGAACAGGAGGATATTTACGACCTCCTGAGGGTCGAACTCTTTAACTATTCTTTGGCTGCTGTTGTCAGTAGGTCAACTCCTGCCGTCCCCCCACAGCTCCTTCAACTTACCGAGGAGTTGAGCAAGATCAGCACCATAGCTGTGCCCACCAAACTCCTGAAGCCGGAGTAATCTTTGTCTGCCAGCACATTGTAGAAGTGGCTGGGGAGGACACCCACTTGGTAAATGATCAGCTGCTCTAATAGCAAAGAAAAAAAAAAAAGATGTGTTAACGCATTGTCGGGAGGCAGTTCAAACAGAAACAACATAGGCAAATGAGGCAACACTTTGAGCTAAAGGTCAAGGGAAAGAAGAACACACAGTATGCAGTCTAGTGTTATCTGAAATATAGTTTTACAATGCCACAAAAGGCTCTGTCCATCAAGCATGACTGTGTCCCATGATGAGGCTTCGAGAGAGACAAACAACCTTACTTTTCATTTCCAGTAATTTGACAGCTAGATGATCTGACTGACACAATCATGACCAACACACACGTCCTCTTGCGCAAGCAGCTTTTGTGACACCAGCATTTACCTGTCAGAGTGACAGCAAGCAGCGTCCCGAACATCAGGACACTTTGACTGGTCCATGATGGGAACAGGACCTTCTGGATGCTGCAGAACCGCTGAACAAACTTCCAGTCTAACTTTGGTCTGGAGTCAGCAAGAGAGATGTAACATTGTATTAGAAAAAGCAAACATGCATGAAATGTTATGAGGTTGTTATGATGAAATTACTTTGCATCAGACATCTCTCCTTATAAAGCAATACTAACTGTTTAACCAGCCAATACAGTGCTGCACTATATGCTTATCATTATTTTAGTCTTTACAGTCACTTGAGAAAGGTTGTGTACTTGTCTCTAATCACTGAACTTAGTTAAACTGGCTGAGCAATAAGAGAAAACCTCATTGTTATGGAGACTAACAATTAATACATCTCCACCAGTTTCCTTGAAAGTGGAGCTTCTCTCTTACCTTTTTGTCCCTCTGCCATTTGGCTTTTCCAAACGAGGCATCAGCACTGGCGGCAGCAGCGAGGGGGGGCTGATATTATTAAGTTATTATAAAGTTCACATACGTTGTTTGAACTTTCTGTGACCAGCAGGTCGAGCTAACGTTAGACTCGCCGCCGTCTCCGCCGGCAACAACGATTAGAGAGCGGAACAACGAACAAATGTCAACTATTATAAATGTCAATTATTCTAAATAAACAACTTCCCTCTTAATTACTTTCGCTGCTACGTTAATAAGCTTGTATGTTGTCTGAGTTTAGCATCCTACGGCCGACCACTGCCTTGTTAATCCAACAATGTGAGCGCTTAAGGTGAATGTTTTGGTCGGTAAAAGTAAAAGTCCGGACGTCCGGTTTAATGTTCTCCCATTTTTCAAAATAAAAGGTTCACATCAGGATAAGCTTTTTACAAACAAACAAAAAAGCTTGCATGTGCAGCATTATTATTAAAAAACTGCTTTTTGCTCAGTGTTCTTTGCACTATTACTGTTATATAGTAGATTTATGCAGAAAAGCTAAACAAATATACTATCACTCTTAAACCCAGGAATTTATATTATAGGCTATATACAGCACACATATGAAGGGATTATAATATATAATAAAACTCCCTTTAGTTTGGTTCTGTGTGCTGTAGCTACTTTTTCTAAAGTAATAGGAGCCACACCTGGACAACCAAAGTGTTTAAAACCAAAAAGAAGTGGGTATGGGCCTATATAACCTCTGTGAATTGTTTAGAGATTTAAATGTCAAAAAACAGCCATCACCCAAAGTGCAGTTTATGAGAAGAGCACAGAGAAGACTGGAGATGAGGCTGGGTGCACACGTGCATTACAATGAGATAAAGACCTAAAACCTTATCTAAGTTGTTCAAAGGTTAAACACGATCGCAATGCGCTATTTGGGTACAGGGAGTAAAACACATGACCCAGTTATCAAAGAAGGAATGGAGATCCAGATTCACAGTACTCAAATACTGAACACACTCCGGTCTAAAACCCCATATGCACTGACTGACTGTCCCTCTTATGTCATTTCCTTGAAATAAAGATACACTTGGACCAATTCTGAAAATAAAATGCATTTTCTGTTTTGTTTGTTGGAATATTTTATTCTCCTTGTTTCCATATTATTTCCAAAGGATATATGACAGAAAAAAGATGAGTTGGTGAGATGGATGGTGATAATAGACCTATAAATATTCCATTAGTAGAAATGATGATTAATAGTTTGACATGGATATTGGAGTAAACCATCATAGGAGCATTACAACAGCAAATAACAAACAATTAAAACATTTAAAACAAGTGCTAAATCAGTAAGTCAGTGTTTTATACTGTAGATTAAAAATGGGCAGCAGAAATATCTCCCGAAAGTTTCTCAGAAATCAAGCATGAATGATATAGATTGAGATTTTAACCATTTATTTGTTGGATCAACAATTCAGCCCAAGTTAGTAAAGATGGCAAAATACGTTATCAAAAATATCTGTTATTTGAATGTTATGCTTTAAAATGATTAATCAGAGAATAATTCACTTACATTTGGATCAAAATTATAAACGCTTTGGAAAATAAAACACATAAATGTACAAAAAGGAGGTGACGAGGTGCCGACTATGGTAACATAGAAGAACTGTAATGACACGACAGACCTGCTCAGACAGGGAAAAGCATGAGCCTTCCAGATTTAAATAAAAATCACGTAACTATCCCAACACCTGTGAGCTAATGCTTCCAGGCTGATTTGATTTAAAACACGGCAACAAATGAGAAGTGAAGTGATTTCACACGTTGCTGATTCATGGTTTGGTTTATTTTTAAGAGCATGGAATTCAGTTCAATAACATATGGTCATATATGTTGATCAAAGGATGGAAATGTACAATAGATTTCTTATTAGTGAATGCAAGCATTATTACAGTACATCTGAGATTCTGTATTTGCAAAATTCTAGTAAACACTTATGTGTCGACCACAGGTGCATCTTTAAAGGATAAGGCCGGTGATCTTCTATATTGCTGTTATTGTCAACAAATCCCACAAAAAGACCAAAACCAACACATTAACCTGTCTCTAATACTTTACAACTTCCTCCAGTCTGGTCACTGGTTCCCAGTGAGGACGTAAATCTTTAAAAATGGTTCACAAATATATTATTTTTTTCCTTAAATCAGCAGGACACTGTATTTTTTAGCCACTGATACTCAAACAGTATTAAATAATACTGTATTTGTTGCAGACTATTTTCAGCCACAGATTGATACATATTCGATGTAACTCAAAATAACAGTAATACAGCACTCATGCTCATCATAATGAAGAAACATGTCACCCAGTGCAACAGTGTGGCTCACTGATTTGTTTTTAATAGTTTTTGGACAACAATGGAGCTTTCAGGCATAGAGGAATATTGACAATAAAAACAATGAATATCACCACATTTGTCCTTCAAATTAGTTTCTGCTGTGCAGAAACAACAGTTTTTATTTTGTGTCAAAACAAGCAGCATGTTTCCAAGTGTAGCCTGCAGTCACCATGGTGGTGAACATGTCAGCAGTAAATGACAGTTTGCACACAACACTCAGGCAAGGTTTAAGATCCTAAAGAAGAGAGGCACCACACAGACACAACTAAAGCCAACAACACTGTAGACAATGTAACGGTACGGCAACTCTACTTTCATGTGCTGCCTCGCCTGTCTTACATCATCTGAAGGCAGCCCGAACAGTCGACATAAGAACGGAATAGTCACTGCTTTCATAACCATTCTCGTGACGAGGAGGACAGCGACTCCGACCAGGAAGCGCAGCAGGGAGAGAACCACCAAGCTAGTGCTGATTGTTGGTAAAGTTAGAGGAAGTGAAGACAGAGGTGGATCCAGCAGCAGCCCCAGCTGATAGTTCACATGGGTAGCCAAAGCAGCTCCTGCCCCGGTGCCCAGAGCCTGAGCAGTGTCACCCCGAGAGGTGCTCCAGGAATCCAGAGAGAAAGCCACAAGTCCGAAGCTCACATGTGACACAATGATCACAAGTGGAGCGTAGTGGTCCATCATGTAGAAGGTGTCGATCTTGCCCAGAATTGGCTGGAAGAAGGCTAGAATAAGAAGGCTGTAGAGGAAGCCAGTGATTACCTCCTGCAACACAGGGACAGCAATTATTGTAAACCAGGAGTGCATGCCATGATTTTAATAGTGTTAGTGTTGTTTAATAGTCTAGACATTACAAGTTCAAATCAAAATATAGTTTTAAAGCACAGAAACATGCTGCAAACAAAGTCCAAGCCCTTTAAGCATCAGTTGCTACATCATTAAATAATGCTGCTTCCTCTCCTGTAGGTGGCACTACTCTCTGCAACACTTGTAACCAGCTTTCCTTGAAGTCATAAAACCTCTAGTAAAAATCACGTGAGTCTCTTTCTGGTAAACAGGTGTTACTGTTGGGAGGATGCAGAAAATAAACAATATCTACTAACATCAGTTGCCTGGCCACCGAGTCTAATCTAACCTTATCTACTGGCTTTGATTTGTTTATTGGCTCTACTTACAGATAGATCTCCGATAATCATACATTGTAAGCTCCTGTGTATGTTATAAAGATGAAAGGTGTATGTAATACATATTAATGTGATATATTTATGTTAAAATGTGTAAAAAAGAAAATGCACAGATGATTTCAAGTGCTAAGACCGGCTGAAGGTGTCCTCCATTATACACCAAAGACTAAAATGCAGCATTAGGTATATTGGAGTCATGTCAGCATTTACAGCCATCCAAGGTACACATGATGTTACCTGTCACCAGACATAAGAAAGAAAGAAAAAGGCAGCGGTGGTTTGTTGGAGAAAACCTTTTTTTACCCAAGCTGAGGTAGACCTCATTGAGTTACAATTCTGAGCTGGGACTATAGGAGTCAGTGGAGGTAAATCACTTTATATTCCTACGTTTCATATTTCATTTCATTTATTTAAATAACCTTACCAGAACAGAATGCATCCCCATATAGACTCTGCTTACACAGACCAGGACACTCCAGCTGAGAGCCACACTAAAGCCAAAGAGGAAGGGGTACTAGAAGAGAGAGAGAGAGAGAATAAAGACATGGTATTAAAAAAAAAAAACATTGATATTAGAAAGGTGGCTGAAGATGAGCCTTCATAAAACACATCACAGTTTTTTTAAACAAAGAGTTTCTTCAGTGGGTTCATGGACCCATTTTGCAGGACTACATTTTCTGAACATTTAACGTTGACTAAGAATATACATAAGGATTTGGGGAACAAGGAGCAACAGTCCCACTGTCCCTAGCAGTGCATTAATGTTAATATGCTTTCCATAAATACTCCAGTACAGTTCACTGTCAGAAGAAATACTAGGTTCCAAAAACCACAGCGTACAGTTAGAAAACATTGAGCTGAAATCTTTTCAAGGATTCATGTAAGCATCACAGTGTGAAAACAAGAGTTTAGTTGTTAGCAGCTCTGTGAGGTTGTAGAGCGGAGCTAAATGCTAAGGTCAGCATGCTAACATATTTACAATGACAATGCTAACATGCTGATGTCTGAAGGCGTAATGTTCACCATGTTCACCATCTTAGTTTAGTGTATTCACATGCTAACATTTGATAATAAGCACAAAACACAAAGAGCAGTTGAGGCTGCAACTGTCCAGATATTTCACAAAACCACAAATGTCAACCTGAAGGTGGCGCTACATGTAAAAATCAGGGGACCACCAAAGTGATTAGGATTCATCGCCTGGGCAACATGAATGTCTGACAATCCATCCAATAATTGTTGGGATATTTGACTCTTATCAGGGAGGTTGACCAACCCTGAAATCACACCACTAGCACACCTACAGGTCTATTGACACCGTTTATCTTCTAACACTTTGAATCTGCCTCCTGCCTTGGAAACTTTTTATGGTCTGCATCTTATCTTGTGTAAACTTTAGTTACCTCTTCTCTGAAACGTTTAAGGTCCTCAACCTTCAAAAATCAGTGAACTTGATGACGCCAAGCAAGTTGGAGCAGTCAGACGACTGCGTTCAGTTCAAAAAGCATTGAGGTTCTCAGCCCCTCCTCCCCAGTGGTGACCCCTGAGCACTGCAGGGCTCCATGCTCACTTTAACTACAGGTCTTAGTTTAAAATGTTTTTGGCACATTAATATTAGAAATAAAATGAATGCAGGTCTTTTTTTAACATTAAACAGTACACATGATGATGATGGTCATTCAGAGATTACTAAATCATTTCTAAATACAGGATACATGGGACTGAACAAAGGAGAGGAGTGCATTGTGTGTCACTAATGCATCACTTTTAAAAAGAGCATAGAGGCTGCAAATACTTGTGTGGCAATTATGGTTTGATAGCATTTCATCCAATCTGAGTCCAGTATCAAATCTACTTACAAAATCTGGTTTCAGAACTGAACTGTCTCATCAAATGTCCGTCCTTTCAAATCACGTAGTAAATCCATTTAGGCTTAGCGTTTAACTTTTGAAGAAACTTCAGTTATAAATAACTACAGCTCAAAAGACTCAGAGGTCAGAAACTATCAGAATAAGATTTTTCTCTCCGTCTATTTACCAACACCCCATATCCTCTCTTTCTGTTTCTTCCTCTCCCTGTAACTTCCCTTTTCTGTCTCTGCCTCGAGCCAACATTCTTCTTTGCCAAATGCACAAACAAGTTTACTTTTCAACTGTACTGTTTCCTACTCAGCACATATTGTGGTCACATATGTGTTGTCATAACAGTTCATGTTCTGTATTTTTGTGGAATAATCAGCAGATTTTTCTTCAGACTTATAACAAATATTTAGAAAATACTAATATATATATGTACTATGATTTTATATTTATTCATAATAGTACTACTACCCTACTCATTAAATATATACAGGTTAAAAAAAATATATTACTACTACATAAGTCAGTAATAGTAATATATGATTACACCTGAACTTCTAACTCAGCTGAACTGTCTTCCAATGTAGACCAATTACTACGATCTCCAAAGTGCTACAAAACACAAAACATTTAGACTGTGCCTTCCTTGTCATTGTATTGTGGTCAGTGTGTGATGCACTGTTTCTCTCTTGACACAACCATTGCTGGTGGAGAATCATAACGGTATACCATAGCCTATCAGTGATGAACAGGTTTCATTGCTTTGAGTCTCTGATACCCGACTCATTACTATCCACCCTCACGTCTTTTTTTCTCTCTCTCACTCTTTTCTCTCTCCTCACTCCCGAGCAGTGAAGTAACCCTCCTTTTTTTAAACCACAACAGACACTCAGTGGTCCATTTGCACTAGTGTTCATTGATATTCTAGACCAAAATGTTTAAAGAAACCTAATTCGATACTTTCTCTTTCTCTAAATCCAATTCACTAGTCCCTTATCACTCTCTGACAATCTAAAGCAGCTGCTCTCAGTCTATTTAAGAAAAACAAGACTACCTTTCACTCCTCACCTGCACTCACCTGACACACCCGGTCCTGACAGTCTCTGTAAACAGAGGAACGTTTGTTGTCTTCATACTAGAGCTGGGTAACAAGGATTAATAGTGATTTAAAGGCAGTCTGTGCCTTTTCTTTCTTTTGGCCAGACCCACTGACCCTCCCTCAGGGAGAAAAATGTCATGTGGGATTTTAATTTCTTAGTAGGTCAGGTGCCCTGTGTGTGTTTCTTACAACTCTGGTCTTTTTCATTTTAAATTTTACCTGAACAAACACTACGTACTGAACGATGTTGGACGGGGAAAGATGTTGTCTTTGGGGCCCTTCAATGTCTGAGACTTTGATGCTTCTGGTCATCTTCTCTGTGGGTTATCAAAACATGTTCATATCCTGTGGATCGAGGTCGGACCGCTGAATTCTAACGTTACATGAAGAAGGAGAATGACACTGGTGATATTTGTTGATCTAGATCCACCAGGTTGCATCGAGTAATCTGTACACATTTCCAGTTCCAAACTGTACTGCTCAGCGCTGGATTAACACAGTGGGGGGCCGGGGGGCTAAAAATAATCTGCAGGCACTATTGAACCAAATGTTCCTCCCTCTCTTTGTCGGCTCTTTGTGTGTGCGTATCCTGTTGTGTTCAAGTGGCTGTAAGGTCAGCGGGGATACTTTCCTGGTGTGTGTTTGAGTAATTTAACCCTAACCCTTAAAGGCATGAAAGAGTGGATATAAAGGGCAATAATGGAGGATACACCTTGAGGCCCTTTCAGTTCAGAGTTTCAGAAGATAAAACATAATGAATGAAAACACTTCAAGCTTAAGGGGAAAGTGCTACTTCACACATTTCACATATTTGACTTTTGAGTGTGATTATTGTTTAAACAAAACACATTTGATAGGACAGAAGACGAATGAGGGTGAGTGGCTTACAAGCTGGACAATTTCCTGAAGGAAATCCTGTTCTTTATATATCGTGCTTTAGGATCACCGAGCAAAGAAGGGCTGCAATCTAAGATTATTTTCATGATCGATTTCTCTGTGAAACACGTTCCTGATGAATTGTTTGGGCCATAAAATGTCAGAAAATAGTGACAAATGTCCACCACAGTTTCACAAATACCCCAAGTTTAAACATAATCAAATTGTGCTGTTTTTGTGGAAAGCAGAAGTCCAGAAACCCAAATCTAAGTTTCATATCGGCATAAAAAACAGGAAGTGGTGCATTTTGGAAATTTTTTTTGTGCCCAAAAAGTTAAACAAGTTACTTATTAACAACAACCAACTAATGAATTCATCACAAACTAATAACAGTGAACCTGCAGCCTTTGTGGCCCCTGAAGGACTGGGTCGAATCCAACCCTGGCAGGTCTACATCTGCCCTGCAACACTTCATCTTCCACCTGTATGGGACCCTTTAAAGAGGGGGCTCACCTGCCACCGCCCGTAGGTCAGCATGAACACACAGAAGGGTATGGCGGTCCCGGTCATGGCGTGTGTGGACGGCATGCTGTACTCGGAGTTGTAGAAGACCTCCACCTTCACCACGGGAGGGGACGCCGGCCGGGACCAGCGGACCATGTCCTTGGTGGACTGTCCCACGAACAGGTTCCAGGCCCAGACGACGATGAGTCTCCGGCTGACCAGGGCGTCGATGTTCCAGAAGAGAAAGGGGAAGAAGATGATGAAGAACATCTCGTTGCCCAGCTCAGTCCCAAACGTGAACAGGTAGAAGAGAAACTTGTTGTGGATCAGGAACTCTTGACCCACGTCTCCGGTCAGGGAGTTTCTCCGGAGGGGTTTCGCCCTGACGGTGTCTGACTCAGCACCGTCCGGCCCGTCGGTACCGTCGGC